TACAGACCTAAATTGTTTTATGCGCGTTTAGTCCACAAACTGTGCATCAAGACTGCGTTAGAGAAAGGGCATCTGTAAGTTGCAATGTTATGTTATATTTGCTTATTGTATATATCTCAGATTTTAAAACGTTAGATAAGAATGCGTTTAGCTCGTATAATTAATATGATACGGTATACTTGTATAGTCACTTCATGAGAAATTTTTAAAAGTAAAGCGAACATAATTCACTGATCTACTCGTACTGTCTTAACTAGAATAGAATAATAAATACTATAAAATTTTTATGTTCTATCTACTGTCGTCCGCGATATTTTGTTGCAATATAAAAGTTAATAATTTCTTGCCATGTTAAGAAATGTTAATTCATGTACCGAGCAATCAGTCATTACAGTACGCGTATGTTGTATGAATTAATCAATACTGAAATGGCTAATTACAATATTCCTTCTTTCTTGCATTTTCTTGTCATTGAAAACGGATAAAAATAGACTAATTATCAATACCGTCAATATCAATATCGCAGTCCTCAGCACTTTTCGCCTCATCATCATCATCAATATCAAATAGGTAATCATGACCACTACCATACGATTGCCGGCATTGTTGAGGAACAATTACATCGAGTTATTACGCCACTTTATGAAGCTATCGATTACCAAGTTCAGGAAATTATGAAATTAAAGGATGAAGTTAAACTTTCACGTACGGACCACTTGGTGGCTAGTGAGATTGCCTTATTAAGAGCGGAAATCGATTCCTTAACGAAAGCGTTACGATGATTAATCGTACTTACAGTGCTTTTGGAAGGAATTATGTATGCTAATCAGTGGTTGCTATAGCTGCAATTATATACCTGCGTAAGTATTTACAGTATATTTAATACGCGCATATGGTAGTATATACGCTTGGTTCAAGCTTTCATCTATGTACAGTATAAGCGATACGTTTTACTTACACACTCAATTGTACAGAAGGAAAGCAATCAAAAATTATTGCTTCTCTAAACTCCAATCTAAATCATATGATAGATAATAAAGAATTCGTGTATAGTCGTGTCTTGCTAAAGTACAGCGCTACTAAAAATTATTTAGTAACGCGTTATGTTAGTTAACCTATCGGTATAATATTCTACAATTTAGGTAACTTTATAACTGTAATAACCTCTAATATCGCAATATATAATTATTCCAAAGTATATACTATCATATCTAAGATTTAGGTAACTTTTATAAAACAGGCAAAAGCTTAAATTTTGATGAATACAGGATGCAGTACTATAACATCGTTGCTAAATAAATTGCTCGGTATGACTGTTAGCTTGTAAAGATGCTATCATTAAATAATTTAAATTATTGCAAAGACTATCTTGAATAAAATACCGAATACCTATCATATCTACTTAGGCTCTTAAAAAATTCAGACTAATATAGTTGAGGGCATAGATTACTAACACTTCGGTATTATACAATCGGCAATTACTTTTATTATCCGGTATCATTTCCTCATAACATTATTACTAAAATGTACAAGACCATCTCTTATATATTGCATATATTTATAATATGAAAAAAAATATAATTTTTGATAGCGTAAGAGTGCGATCGTTATGAAAGTATCCTATATTATTCAGCATGTTTCGATTAATATGTGTATATCGTGATTCGGACCGGAATTATGCAATTACTAAAAGTGATTTCATAATATACAGTAACAGTATAAATAACACTTACTTTTACTATGAACATTAGCTTTATACAGTATCATAATTAAATGGTACGAATAAACGCCCATACAGCCTCTGTCAATTAGCAAATTTGCATCTAATTCCCAGATTAATTGTAATTATTTGAAATTAGCCCATAGCTATAGTGCGGTAATATGATGCCAG